TCCGGGTTCACAACACGGTTGGCCTCCGCTTGGTTGTTGGGAAGACTAGGGCTCCACGGGAGCGTTGAATTGCGCTGTTAGGGATTGTTAGATTTGGTTTTGGTCGAGCACTTAATTAACAATGCTGTAAATTAAAATTAAAAATGGTTTTGTGCCTTCCGCGAAATATTTCATATTTGTGTGTGTGTGGCGGTTTTGATTAAAAGGAAAATTTGAATTCATTTGAAATTGAATGACGCGCTATTTGAATATTTGTACATATGTTTTTGTAAATGTATTTGATTATTGTGTTTGCTTTGTGGAAAAGAAAATTGAAATTGGATAGTCCTATTTGTGCCGAAAGAAATAAGAGTCGTTCCTCTTTTGGTTTTCACATTTTGTTGGCACTGTCTAAGATATTTGTTTGGAAAGAGAAATAGGGCTGTCTCTTACGTTTATCGTTTTGTTTCATTTGTCAGGTTGATCTATGCGCATCGGTAATTTGATTTGTTTGAATTAATTCAGTACTTGAACATTGATGCTTTTGAAATTGGTTGAAATATGAGCATAGGACTACTTGTCTAAAAGTCTAGCTAGTTTGGAGATTATCAGATTGAAATCAGCTGCCGCCCTATTGAGTAATTGATTATATGGTGGATGGCTTGGTTATGCCTGCTTGTTTAAAAATTCATTCTAGGGACTATGTGCGTTTCATTTGGCTCTCCACAGACGACGTTCATGTGGAATTTGTGGGTGCTCTCTGCACTGAAGCTTAGGAGGCCACGCTGGGCCGCTTCGTGTCGCGTCGCTGTTTGCAGACCTGATCCGGTCGGATTGCGGAACGAATCATAGGGGCACAGATAGGTGTTTGAAGGAGGTCGTCGGACTTCTGTCCAGTACCAGGACTTATTTAGGTGATGCGATGTCCAGGAAGGGCATCCAGTGGAGGTTCGGCCCTCCGGCTTGCCCACATTGGGGCTGTATTTTTGAGGCGTTGGTTAGAGTTGCAAGATCTGATGGGGTGCCTAATGTGGCCTAGGTTTGGTTGTAGATTCGGTCTTGTAACGTGCCGTCGCGACCCTGTCCCGCTTACCAGGTTTGCTCGCGAACATAAATCCTTATGTCCGGGACGGGGATTTGTTTAGGCCAAAAATGGTCATTTGAAACGCCATCCAATCACGTTGGCTGGGCGCATCGCCCGATGGTGTGAGGTGACGTGCAGGGGCAGCGGTATGCCACTCCCCGGCGTTCAGCCTCGTGAGTGAGAAGCAGTGGCTCGCTGGCCGCGATGCGGTTAATCCGCGTATCTCGGTTATCGCTGCCGAAGTTCACGCGACCGGTGTGGGGTCCAGATGGTTAGATTTAGTGCGTGTTACTTCGCTACGGAATTGTGTTTTGTGAAAACCGCCTCGGATTAGGTTGTCTAGGCTTTAAGTTCTTGACAAGAGGCTTTTATTGTGTTCGACTGATTAAAGTAACTTCTTTGAAATATTACGTGTCAACGAGGCGTATTTTGAATTCTTATCGCGGCGTGGTGTTTGATGTCGATTTGATTTACGTTTGATGAACGAAGGAACTTAGTTGTGTTTAACGCTGAACCGTGTGACTCATGAAGAGATCGCGTTAGTTCCCAATTTATAATATGGCGATAAGTGAATCCGGGACATTGAATGTTGAACTTTGACCTACGAGTCGTACTGCGTGTTACGCTTTATAATAAATGGAAGTTAGTTAAACGTACAATGAAGTTAATAGACTGAAATAGTGACAATGAAGAAAGAAATGGTCCAGCGGTGGAGCCTGCTGGAGCGATGCAGCATTGTGGGGCAGCCTGGAACTCGGCCGCTGCTGGTCACCTAAGCTGGTCCAGGTCTCAGACACCTACACATCACTAAACACTACTTGCCATGCACCTTACACCCACTTACGGCCTGACCGAGCCTTGGGGCGGTCTTAGATTCGGATACAGGTACGTACTATATTTTCCTAGCATTCTCCCATATAGTTTAGTATGATAGGACATTTTTCCATGTGGCCATTTGGGCCCGACCCGCATCTGCCCGTCGAGCTGGCTGCTATGGGCCCCAGCCAAGGCCACTTTGTAGGGGCAGCTGCGGGCCGTAACAATATCCTTAAGTAATTATAGTGAAAAATATCCTGTTACAGTGTAATAACAGTGAAAAATCACCTGTTGTAGTTATAATCTCACGTATACTTATTCTACAATAACTCAGCTCCTAGTGACAAATCTTACCAGATTTTCAGCTATGAATTGTTTATATGTACGCTTTCAAATGGTCCTACTTTCACCTTGTTAACACCTGGGCCCAAAAATGTATGAAGACGGCTCCTTTTCCTTTAATTTAATAAAAACCAAGGTTTTAGGGTGATTTAGCTATAGGTACATACTTATTTAAATGAAAATAATTTAAAATTAAAATTTCTGTACAGCCGACTTCAATATAAGTTATTAAGAATAACTCAATAACTATTGGTCTTACCTTGATCAAATCCATATGGGACCTTAGTATGAGACCACACGAGAAGTATCAGCTTTCAAATAAAAAATAATCATCGAAATCGGTTCACCCAGTAAAAAGGTTATGAGATAACACACAAAAAAACATACAGTCGAATTGAGTACCGTCTCCTTTTTGGAAGTCTGCAGAAAATAGTTTGTAACATCTGCATAAAAGAAGTCGATTTCAAGGAAAATTGTTAGCCACATAAAACAAGTATCCTACCGTTTGCAACTGATGTTTAACGTCAAATTTTTTTTTATACAAAACGTTACCCCCACACTAGGATTTTCTCCTGTGTCGTGGAGGCAGTTTACAAACATAAATTGCACAAGGACAAACATCCAGACCCGGAACAATTATTTGTAGGCCATACAAATACTTGTTCCGTGCGGGATTCGAACCCGCGGCCCCCAGCGCAACAACTCATTGCTAAGAAACTACTGCGCCATGCGATGATAATGTGTACATACGAACTGCGGCACAACAAACAAACGGAGCCGTCAACTAAACTTAATCAGGTCTAAAGAAGTAAAAAAAAGCTACAAATTCTTGATACGACAGGCGTGTCACAAAATGTTTGTTCGCCACAGCTGGACGTTTTCGAAAATTTGTCGCAACGAATCGGTTAATTCCCCTATGTCGCCTCTTAAGACACCCACAGGACGAAATGGGATGGTGGATATTCTTACACTGCTACTACACCGTGTATTTAACTTAAATTCCAGATCAATCAGAAGCAGACCAACCCTGTTCTTTTATAGGATAAAAATATTAATTTTTACGTAAGCACAGTCATCCTCATCATTACAGCCCCATCACTAATCTTGCTAATCATCAAACTTTCCCTGTGTTGTTAAGTATACACCAAAACATCTGTATTTCACGAGAACATTCTCTATTAATGAAAGACACTCTTCAATTTTTATTTTTTAACTTAGTGTGTTGATAAAAAAAGCCTTGTCCCATATTGTTCACGATTTGAGACCACACTAAATCCAATTCTTGTATCTTGGTTCATTCATTCATACTTGAATCATACTGACACTAGATGATGAAATTACATATGTAACTGGAACATGTTTTCCACCTGATAATAAATTATTAGAAGGTTGTGAACTTATTTACACAAAAAATTCTTTAGTAAAAAGTAAAGTTTAGTTAAAAGTATTTTTGGGTCCAAATGAAAAAGCATTAGCACTGCATCATGATTTTATAGTAAAAATATACATACACAAACAAAATTATACAAATGTCACATTATATGTACTTGAAGGCATATATATTTCTGTTAGGAATCACATGTCAGAGAAATAATTCAATTTTATTCATATTTTTGTATAGGGGTTGTAATTATATATAAAAATTTTGCCCCAAGTACTATATACTACTTTAAATCACATTACATTTTATGAAAGCCATCCCATAACAATAATTTATATTATATATACTTGTAAATCATTTTAACTTGCTCCTATACAAAATTTACCAAAAGTATGATTTATGATACATTATTTTATTTTCTTAAAAGCTATTTCTCAATTGATTTGACAAATTAAAATATATATATGGTATTCTGTGCTTTTATTTAATCAAGTTCTATGGGGCAAGGTATCAATATATAAAGATAATTTTACAAAATATGCATTTATTCAGATATAAGTTTTATTATTATTAGCGATAATAAAAATGTAATATGGTATAGTTGGCTCAAGTTGATAATAATACGCAGAGTATGTTTCGGTAACTAATAATTTATATAAATACAATTATTACACAATTGCATTTCACGATTTTTTACATAAATAATATTGCTAATTATTAAGCAATTTAATAATTAACAGTTCAGATATAATAAATAATAGCTAAATTATTTCAGATTTGGTTTCTATTTTAAAGAGATCAAACTTTACATATTTATGAAAAGGCAAAAGAACAAATGCAGATTTGTTTTTCTATAAAAATTATCATACACTTTTATTATCATAACAATAGCTAGCTAACATGTCTTAAAAAAGATGAAAAAGACCTTGGATTCTACTTTTTAATTTATTATTTATAAAATACGGCAGCAATACCATTTAATTACAATAAGTATTTATTTTAAATCAATTTCAATATTGTCTCTAGCCCAGATAGAAAGGGGCATGCACTTTAGGTCACAGTATGGCCAGCTTGCAATGTCTTAATTGCATCACTAAACATTCACTGTCCAAATAAATCAATGAAAAAGGGCACTGTTTAGGAACAATCCTCTTGGCTCTTTCTAACACACTGTGCTACTTTTCTTTTAAACTCCGAATATGATTCTCTCCACTCTTTCTGCAAAAAGAAACAGAATGAGCACACAGCCACAACTGTTTAACCGCAGGTTGGTATTTGTGAACCGTATGCATATTGTGTGCACCCTAAAGTGAAAATATTTATCTCAATGTATGTTTTGCTGTTGTGTAGTAGCCCTTTTTCAAAAGCAAAATTGTGTTATTTATTATCCCATCTCTCCTAAAAGCAATCTTCTTGACTTTTCCTAACACATCTGGCAACTTTCTTTTTGAAATCCGAATATCGCTCTCTCCATTCTTTCTGTGAATACAAATAATAATTAAAAATGAGGAGTTATAAATAATTAAAAATATTGTTAAGTAAATTTAATTAGTAAATAAATGTTATTTACCAGAACAAAGCAGGTGTGCCTTCTCATTAAAGGAATAAAAATATTGCTAAAACCTTAAAATTTAGCAAGTTAAATATTTTATTTACTTAAATATAATTTCATATTTAAGAATTTTACCACCATAGTAATTTATTAAATGATTATGAGAATTGCAATACTTCATAGAATCCAAAGATAAAGTTAACAAATAGAGTTAAATTGTTAAGATGATTTAAGTTATTTGAGATTCACATAACATGCAAATTTACTTTAGAATTAATTTTTGATCAGATTACATTTTATGCAATATGAAGGATCTCATTCCTTGGTAAGTAATGTTGCATCACTTATTCAAACTACTTTGACGTCATTTTATTATAAAGATTTTATAAGATATATAAATTCTACTATTGTTTACTGGTAGTTTATTTTGAATTTAATAATTAATATAACTTACTGCAGCATCAACATTAGCAGGACTCTCGTCATTAGGATCAGCTAACATAGAAATCACACTAATAAGTATTGTTTCCACAGTGTGAACTGGCAGCCATCTCTCAGATGCTTTTTCATAACCCCATTTGTCATCTCCTGGCTCATGCAATATTGATATACATACATCACCATTCTTTTCAACTGAAATGTTTGATTATTATTGTACTAATTGTAGTTAAAGTACATTAGTTTATGTCACAATGTATACCTTTACTGTGTTCGAAATATTATATAGAGTATAATATATGTAGAGATCCAGAAATCACCCATGGGAAGCTAGGGTGTATCACTAGTCTGTTATAAAAAATAAGAATTGACCCTAAATCTTATTATAGTTGTTAGACCTAAATATCTAGGCTGGTATCACAAAGGTCTAAGCTTCAAGCATTATCTACATTTAAAATGATGTAAACATAGGCCAATGAGGAAACTAATATATCAGAATGAAACATTAATTTTTACACTTTTCTATTTCCCTTCCCTGAATTTTACTTCACTGCCAATAAATGTGTCAAATATTTCACCTTGTTCCAAAGTGATGCCACTCTCGTGGCAGAAAAAGTTATGGAAGTCCACATTCTTGTAGTTAAAATTAGAATCTGCACTTTTTTTATAGGAGAGGGGGCAAACGAGCATGCGGCTCACATGATGGTAAGTAACTACCACCACCCATGAACAACTGCAACACCAGGAGAATTCTACTCCAAATTTTAAAACCCTTGATTTGTACTGCCAGCTAAGCTTAGGTCACATATATGCAATATTTTTCACACAAGGAGCAGTGGGTTAAGTACTCGCTGTAAATTCACAGATGTGAGCAACCTGTTTTGAACCCCACAAACACCAATGAAATTGTTATTGCAGTTTTAAGTACTGATTTACCACAATCTCTGAGATAAAGGATAACATCTTGAGGAAACATACATGCCTAAAAGATCATATGATGTGTGCCAACACAATGGAGCTGCACTGCTATACTTAATTATCCCCAATAATAACTCTTTTAGAAATAATAGACCACCTTGCCCAACAGTTGAATACATTAAGCCTTTAACTAACTTTTTCATACTTTTGTCATATCACAGCGCTTCTTTGCCATATCTTATCGTCTGTTGCTATTCTGAATCACTTCACTCCCACATCACATGTAAATCCTAAGAGTGCTGCTATTTATAAACAAAAAAGGTTTTATGTAAAACCTAATAGTTTAGCTCACAGCTGCTTAGCTTAACCCAAGAACAAATTTAGCGGGATTCACAATGCACCTGAATATTAATGAAAAATCACTTGCTTAACCATCTTGATATTTAAAAAAATTTGCAGAGAATAGACATTTAGTTACTGAATATTATTAAAATATCCTTTACTCACTGTTTGGATGCCAAATTTCTGTAACAAATTTCATTCGTGGTGGCCTCAAAGGATACTCTTTTGGAAAATGTAAGTGTGCTTTGAAAAATCCACCTTCACTGCAAATGATAATATTGATTTTACACATACATCTTAAAAGCATAAATATTTTACTAGAATGAGTATTAGTTTTATTACATAATGTAACAAGCAAGTAAAGCAAAATAATATGGAATAACCTATATTATCAAAGAGAAAAAAAACACATTATTTTTTATTGATTAACTTCTATCACAATAAACATTGAGGTTGTCAACTGTAACTGATAAAATTTAGTTTTACTTTCATGTGATTTAACTTTTTAAGTTAAAAAATATCAGATGGATGAATAGGAGGCTCCTATTCATCCACCATCCATCTGATGTAATGCTCAACAATTTGATGAGCCTTCTATAATTTGTGTCAATTATAGAAAAATTTATAATATAATCTGATAATTGTAAACGTTTGTCATTAGTTCTGGCATCATATCTACTTACTATAATGTGTCTGGAGGCCCAATAATGAGAACTTCCCATCTGTAAATATCATTGTCGTCTATTAATCCAGCAGAAAAGCCTTCCACTGGATTCTTATTTAATTCTGAAAATTACAAAATAACTAGGTTATTAAAATACATCTCATTTTTAAATATTTCATTGCGACAATCTAAATGAAATGTGAATCTTTGCCAAGTTAGCGTATTCAGTTCGTAAAACCTAGTCATTTCTTTATTTGACTTTGGCAACGAATGTCATTGCGACGAATATTGATTTTATTCACGCTATTACAATTAATGCGAAATTTATTGATTTCACTTACACACAATATAATCACAATTTTTTAAATCATCTTTTAACCACAATGATCTCCTAATTTTAAACCACTAAGGTCAATGAATGCAAGGATACTTGATCGTTCGACGCTCACACATTGGTTAACACAAATAATTTATTACGACATAATACATTTACCTGCTAGTTGCTTTTTTAATAAAAGCGAAGACTGTGGCTCTGACATTAATTACAATTATGAAATTTAACCTGACGACACGAATTAAAATTAATTTCCCACAAAAGATGGCTGGCTGAGTTTTGTGCAGTTTGTGAAACATATGAGTTGTTGCTTGTTTCCGGCCGTTTGGTGTTGCTATTATTGAATTTTCTCGCTACAGAGTATAGCTGTATAGCAGGTATATTTTAAAATTAACCTATCAAGCGTCGGCTATCCGTATGGCCAATGGCTACGTACGTACTAGGCATGGAACCGATATATCAAAACGTAACTAATAACGGTATGTTATCAAATATCATATCATATCATATCGATAAACCTAAGATAAGCGTTATCACATATCCAACCAAAACCCAAAATCAACTAACCAACGTTCGAAACGTAAAACGCAAACTGTAACGATATACCGAAAACAGCCCAAAACCAAAACTAACCGATGCCCTTTGATATTCGTTGTTTCTCGTTCTAGCGACAATATCATGAAAGAGATGAAGCGAATATGAATTTCGTTGCGATGTTTTGGTTGTTATTATAAAACGGTGCACGTAGTGAAATATAATTATAAGACTTAACAATAAGGTCGAATTTTAAATGGTTGAAATTGCCTAATTTTTTAAGTTTGTGTAGTTGTGAGAGTTGTCAGATTCAAATGATCTTTAGGACATTAGGCAGTAGACTTAGATTTGTTTGATCACATTATATTTGGTTTAGGCAACTTTTGTTTATGTGAAAGTTTAGAATTTTTTTTTTTCAAACGTAACAATTACGCACTTGACATTGGTGGCGTGTGCCGTTCACTATGAAACTATCTGTAAAATTATTAATTTTTGACGTTGTGTTTGTGCATTTATTTGTAATATTTGTTTGCATTTTGTACATTTGTTTTAAAACTTTCCTGCTAGTCCTAAGCCTAGTTAAGTATATGAAGGTAAATCGCCAACTTAAATAATCATTACAAAAAATAATGATTATTAATGTAATAATAATAAATAAACTATGTATGTACATACCTATAATAATTTTCTATATATATAAACATTATGTATACCTAGTCAGGTCATAGGTATTGTCACACAGTAAAAACTTTTCTTTTAGAATGCTGGCCACAAAAAAGTTTATTGAATTCGAATTTCGAATTGTTCATGAAAATTAAACTGTATATTTTTAGAATTTTACTAATTTTTAAATATGGAGTGGAAGCTTAAAGAAGACCGTAGTGCAGTTATTGCGTTGCATCGTTGCGGTTACGCGCCAATTCATATTTTTGACATACTGAAAAATTTGAATATAACCAAGATTCGTTTATCGTACCATCAAACGATACAATGAAGACTCTAGTGTAGATGACAGGTCAAGACGTGGTCGCCCTCGGTCTGTTAGGACTCCAGCAGTGATAAAAGCTGTGAAGGCACGATATCAAAGAAATCCCAAACGTAAGCAGAAACTGTTGGCCCTTCAGATGGGGTTAAACAGAACCACGGTGAAAAGGGTTTTAAATGAAGACTTAGGGTTTCGGGCATATCGAAGAAAAACAGGACATCGTTTGAATGCTCGTCTAATGGACCTGAGACTTAAGAGATGCCGCGCTTTGTTGAAGCGGTACGTGGGAAAAAATATCGGGAAATTCTTTTTACGGATTAAAAAATTTTTACCGTAGAAGACAGCTACAACAAACAAAATGATAAGGTGTGGTGTAACACAGTAGTGAAGAAGCGAGCAACCGTATTCCGCGTATCCAACGAGGTCATTTTCCATCCTCGCTCATGGTATGGTTGGGAGTTTCTTATTGGGGCTTAACAGAGGTACATTTTTGTGAGAAAGGTGTAAAAACGAATGCAGTTGTGTATCAAAATACAGTCCTGACGAACCTTGTGGAACCTGTTTCTCATACCATGTTCACTAACAGGCACTGGGTATTCCAACAAGATTCGGCGCCAGCTCATAGAGCGAAGAGCACACAAGACTGGCTGGCGGCGCGTGAAATCGACTTCATCCCGCACGAAGACTGGCCCTCCTCCAGTCCAGATTTGAATCCGTTAGATTACAAGATATGGCAACACTTAAAGGAAAAGGCGTGCTCAAAGCCTCATCCCAATTTGGAGTCACTCAAGACATCCTTGATTAAGGCAGCCGCCGATATTAACATGGACCTCGTTGGTGCTGCGATAGAGGACTGGCCGCGCAGATTGCAGGCCTGTATTCAAAATCACGGAGGTCATTTTGAATAAACTTTAGTGTCATAAGAATCTATTTTTTGTTAAGTTCATTTTGGTATATAAATGGTGACATAATGAATAAACTTGTTTCAATTATTTTATATTAAACATGTGACAGAATTTATGACCTGACTACGTATATATAAATTATGTTTACTATTTATGAATACAGTTTAATCATAGACTTCGAAATCAAACTCTGATCCTACGTCTCACTTTTAAAAAAATATGGGTATAAACATTATAAAAATAAATGAGAATAGAAAGAATATAATTTTAGACATTTATTATACTACGAGTATATTACTGCATAACAATCATAAATTATATATTAACATACATGTCTAAATATTACATGTAAGATTATATTAGTGCCTCTGACTTCTAAACTAAAATAATCGAAGTAATTCGTAAAATAAATGATGCACTCGTTCTACAGTTTTCGGCATAGATAATGTACTATATAGAGCATAGATGAGCCACTCTGAAAAATAATTAGGTGACGAAACGAGGAAAGTTTCTTCTGCGCTTTTATTGATGGCATAGGGATTATAAATTACTGAAAATTACACTAGAGGGCGCTACCACCTAGGTTCAGTATTATTTCGTACTTATTTCAATTAAATTAAAAGGATCAATTCAATTTAAATATTATCTAATTTGTTTTAAGTAACTATTCATTGTTTGTTTGAGAAAACCGTGGTGGGAATTGCTTCGTTAATTTATAAAGAATTATATTATATATATATATATATATATATATATATATATATATATATATATATATATATATATATATATATACCGATGTATTTCAAAACTTTGCTAGCATCATTTAGGCTTCGGTATAAATAATAAATACCCGCAGTGGTGCCATCTTTTAATAGATTATGTAAAAATATCGGGAAAAATAGTACTTTTACTGTGAGATGGCACTAGTATCAACGTAAAGCAAGCTACTGAGGAATTTCATACCCCTGATTTTAGGTTATGTTTCGGTTGTAAACCATTACTCTTGATATCGATATTTGAAAACGGTTTTCAATAACGATATGAAAACTAAATATCAGTTATGTAACCGTTGCAGCTAAAAACTGCAAACGCCCATGCTTAGTACGTACGTAGTATTATTATTTATTCTGTGGTATGGCGACGTTTTTTTTTAGTGGCTTTACGGCTCCAGGTTCTAGCCCTTCTGAGCCTGCCACGTATGGCGATGGCAAGAAGGTTGTAAAAATATATAATAACCTCCTTGGGCGATGGCGAAGGCGAATCCAATAGACAGAGTGATATGTTTTGTTTAATTCACAAAAAAAATACGCCTATATCACATTAGCACTTGTAAGAAAGAGATATAGCTACTATATTGTTGACCTTATTCCCTTATAATAAGTTGTTTGGCATTAAATTTAGTGGCAGACACTGCAACTGACACGGAGTGTTTCAATGTTTCGCTTAAATATTTATTTGCAAATAAAACTCTTCTTTTCAGTCGTTATCTTCTTCTTTCTTCTTTATAAAAACGTTACCCCCACACTAGGATTTTCTCCTGTGTCGTGGAGGCAGTTTACAAACATAAATTGCACAAGGACAAACATCCAGACCCGGAACAATTATTTGTAGGCCATACAAATACTTGTTCCGTGCGGGATTCGAACCCGCGGCCCCCAGCGCAACAACTGATTACTAAGCCACTGCGCCACGGAGCCGTCTGATCTTATCGTTATTGTTATTATTGGTACTACCGTTATCTGTTACCGACTGTTCATTGTTACTAGTTTTGTGCATCGCAGTTAAAATGGCGTCATATTCTAATAAAGAATATGCCGACATCATGTACTGTTATGGTTTTGCTGATGGCAACGTTGCTGGGGCTCGTAGAGAGTATCAACATCGCTTTCCTGATCGCCGATTTCCCCACGATTCTGTCTTCGGAGTTACCTATCAACGGTTAAGTGAAAGCGGCACCATTCACAGAAATCAAGTGGATACTGGCAGAACTCGACGTTTTACACCTAACGATGAAGAAACAATTATGCAACATTTTATTGACGACCTTAACGTCTCAATGAACATTGTAGCACGCCATATCGGTATGTCCCCGTGGAAGGCATGGTCGGTGGTGCACCTGCCAGGCCGACATTCGTACCATTACCAACCGGTACAAACGCTGTACGAGGGTGATTCAGCGAGTAGACTTCAGTTTTGTCGTTTCATGCTAAACGCCGACACAGACGAATAAATTTAAAAAAAAAGTCGAATAAGGTGGATGGGGCAGCAAATCATACTTCAGTTCGTTGATTTTTGCCATGTGTGAACCCTAGCGTTGTCTTGGTGGAAGATGATTTTTTTTTACCAAACCTAGTCGTTTTTGCTGAATACATTGATGAAGCTTATCTAGAAGATTAGCGTAGTATTCTCCATTAATTGTTTGACCTTTGGGAAGGTAATTTGTCATCAAGATCCCATCTGCATCCCAAAAGACGGAAGTCATCACTTTTCCAGCCAACTTTACAGCTATGGCTTTTTTGGAGCCGGGCATCCCGATAGAGTCCACTGTTTTGATTCAATTTTTGATTCTGGCGCGTAATGATGAACCCATGTTTCATCTGTTGTTATATATCAACGTAAAAATCGGCCTTATTACTCTGAAAACGGTCCAGACATCCTTTTGAGTTTTGCACCCGAATCCTTTTTTGATGGTGCGTAAGCAATCGCGGCACCCAACGGGCCGATAACTTTTTCATATTTAATTCTTCACTTAGGATATGATGTACTCATTTTTTTGAG